TCGGAGTTGGAGCAGTTCCCCTCACATTTCCCACATATTTTTGAGCAAAAGAGCCCTACTCGTCGGCAGCCGCAGTTACCTTCTTGCATGAGCATGCCTCCAGTTTCAAGAGAGCATCTGGGGCTGTGCTCCGTAAGGTAGTAATAGGAACAAATGAGTTTGCAGTCTTTCTCCAGCCCCAATCCTCGGGTGACAACTTCTTTCTTGAACTTGGTAAAGCACCCTCTGGGAGTGTTGTTCAGCAGCAGCTTCAGTTGGTAGAAGAGATAATATATTACCATTCATCTTATAAGCTGATGTAATACAACTCTTGAATCGCAGCTTATTCAGCTTGAGATAGGTATAGAGGTCGTTATATCTTATAACTGTATTATGACTCGACGTCCGCTCTATTCCAACAAGGTACTAAAGACACTAAAGACAGTCAAGAAAATAAAGACGGCAAGTGAGGTAAAAAAAGTAAAATAAAACTATAGTTGTACATGTTAATTTAATAAATAGAAGCTCGTCTACAGCATTTCAGTCAACATCCCTGTCTATTTTCTGTATATAGTGTGTCCATTTATAATGATACTAGCTATATAATGTACATATATGGAGAAAATGTTATCCATACTGCAGCCTTAGCATATTATACTATATTTTTAATCGACCCTATGATTTATAATAATAATTTTCAAATGTATTTAAATTGAAAATTGTTTTCTTATTTTTTTTTATGCTATGGTTACCGACTATAAACTTCACTTACATTTTTTACCACTAAATGTGACCTAATGATACCATATAATTATAAAATAATCAATATTCATCAAATAGAGTTAGTTGGGTGACTAATTCAAGGATTTATAATGGTGTTTCCTACGTTTTCCAATAGGTAAAAGAAAATGATGAATTTTGAGCGCGCTCTAGCGTCAGTTTGGAACATCATAGAAATAAAGTTATTGTACGTATATTGTAGGGAATTTAGTGTACTTTAATTTAGTAAATGACAGTTATTGCAAAAAATTACTCCGTTTGTTAGTTATACGCAAAAAAGTAAAACAAGTACAGTATTTTATTAGTTTTTTGCGATTTCTGAAGTTAGCTCACCTCTGGCGAGGTGGCAAAGTTTAAAATCGGATTCAGCACCAAAAATACATAAGAAACCACTGAGAAAAAAACTTCGGGAATTTTTTCCTGAAAACATATTCTTTTTTCCTCATATGCTTGGACTAATCAGCTATTTCTTTTCTACTGCATTCAAAAGTCAACAGCTGATCATATGTTTTTGTTTATGTGTCAAATACTGCTTCCATAAGGATTACATTGAAACTTTGAGACCCAGTGGGGCGGATTCCTGAGAGACTTTTTTAACGCCATATAGATGTTGGCACTCACCGATATGGTCTCTATCACCATGCAAAATTTGAAAACGATTGATTCATCCGTCTAGGAGGAGTTTGCGTATTACGAAATGCATAAGAGTCGACGTATAAGAGCTTCGCTCGCTCCGCTCAATAAAAAAAATATAGTGCTGCACCCTGTTGGTAACCTATTAACTTTTTAGTGCTATTGAACATCACGGAATCAAATTGTTTAGTTGAACCAACTGTTAAGATTCTTTAATTCTATTTAAATATAAGTAGTCATAAGGTTAACATGGGGAATCTCCAGAGCCACTGGGGTGGAGCGCATTGAACGGATCCCAAAATTGATGGTGTATATTCCATGAAGTTCTACACGTATGTACCATTTTCGTGACAATCGGTCCAACGGCGTCTGAGCTCATAACGTTCAAACAAACAAACTACCTATTTTGTAAATATAGATAATTTAGGGTTTCAAGATCCAATTATAGGTCAAGAGCAGATTTTTGCATTTATTGTTATTTATCTTTAGAGAAATTGCTAAAAATAACATAGGACAATTAAATTGGTCAAGGAATTGTTTTTTATTGACTAGTTAAATATTTTTTCTAAATTTATGAGTAGATGAATATTACCAATTTTTCTATATTTTAAAATAAAATAAACTCTTAATTAGGTTGGTAACATATAGAAAAATTACAACGTCATAACCTAAGAAGCGGTATGGTGCAGAAAAAAAATATATTGTATCAATAGTTTGTAATTTAAACGATAAAATACCCCGTACTTGGATGAAATGTACATAGATAATCACCCTAAAATACATTTTGTATAATTTATCCTCATTACATTTCATTTTGGTTATTCAAGGAGTATTTTACTTAAGAATCTATACTTGGCCCTGGACAGCCTCTTAAGGTTCTGAGATGCCCGAGGAAACAGGTTTTGTTGGATAACTTTGCGGCTTTGATGGTTGCACGTAGCGTTGAGTTGTCCCAGCCGAAACTGAACCAAGTCATTCCTACTATCAACGCATGGATGGCAGCTCTGAGCTCAAAGCCAATAAATCCTATCTTTATTTTTTTTTTTTTTTATTTAAGGTTCTTTATAATTTATTTGTTTTATTCGCGGCAAAATAGCCATTTTTGCAATAAATTACATGCATAAAAATTATGGATTTTTACCATATATATGCAGTAAGTTTTACATTGTGCTGTATCAGTCATGGTTCATGAACATGCTAACCATAATTGGTTTTACTGGGAACATACAACCTCGGCAAACAAGAAAAAGCATTCAATGGTCTGGGACTTTAACTAAACATTATGAGCCTAGATTAACTATATATCTTGCTTGCTCTTAGCAAAACCGAGCTCGTGGATTGACGCCATCTATCCTCTGAGGGAAGGTGACTTCGAAGTCCGAAACGTTTATGCCACTATTAACCATAGGGTCGTAGTTGGTTTAGCTGGCGGGACTAGATCTACCTACGGCAGACAAGGTTGCTAAGGTGGTTTTTCCTTAGTTCGTTAATGGCTTAATGTTGGAGATTCTCGGTCTAGTAACAGAAGGCTATTGACGTCTTCAGTCCAGTCCGTCCCCCGTGGAAGTGTGGGCAGACGTACCCAATTAGGAAGTATACAGGATGTGGCTCACCCGAGAGCAGAGTCAGACAGCATCCGCCTACCAAAAAGTGTACTACCCTGCCGTACTGGTGGTTGCTGTATTAATCCCACTTTTGATGTTGGAGAGGAATTTATCAGTGATGTGGGAGACCCAGGCAAGAACAGTAGAGTGCAACCGAGCCTACCAGCTCTACAAGGAGAGCTGGGTACAGGAGACACGGGGACTCGGAACCAGGCGACTGTTTAAGCAAGTCTAACCTTGGGTAGATCTTCAACACGGAGAGGTGGATTATCACCTCACCCAGTTTCTGACCTGTCAAAAATTTTTCCAGTCGTATCTGCTCATGATCGGAAAATTTGAGTCTACGGCTAGAGCACCACCGGTGACCCGGAACAAACTTTTTACCCTTGCCCACGTTGGAAGAGGCTCCTCCTCCCCTGGAGCCTCAACATTTTAGACGAAGAATTGCTGGACAAGTGGAAGTCTAAGTGCAACAGAGTATAGGGGACTTCTATTTAAATACATTCAGTAGTCTCAAACTACAGGCTAGCCTCAAATATAACTTGTCTGCGGAACAGCTTTCCCTTCTCTCACTTATGAAAACTTAACGTTTCTTTTAAATACTGTACTGCTCAGTATAACACAGTTAAGGCATTCAATTAACTTACTGTACAATAACATAACATTTTCCCTTATCTCAAATAGTGATGCATCATCAAGACAAATAAACATCAGACCTACTGTCCTTTTTTGTGGTCCGTGTTCCGTGTTATAGTTTTACAATAGTCATGTAAAGCATATTTTAACTTATGACCAGCTTTTGTGTTGGCCAAGCAAGTAGAATACTTATCTACTTATTGAATTTTTTATATCTAATTATGTAACCTCAAAAAAAAAGGTAGTGCATGTTGAATGGGCTTATTTTAAAAAGTAAATTAGCCGTTTATAATGATCTGCCCATTGTGCAAAGGGACATGAAATGCCCCCCCCCCCTTTACTAAATACGTTCTATATACAGTCTCTATGTGTTCCTCACATGTCTAGTGACAGATTTGTTATTGCAGTCAGAGAAACAAATCTTAAATAGAGTATCTTGGGAAAGCTGTTCATGGATAGTTTTTTTTTTTTTTTTTTTTTTTTTTATCAACGTGTTAAAGTATTTGGCAATGTGTTTTATAATCACAATAGTGTATGTATCAGAGAATAAATAGGTAAATAGGTAAATATGTATATAAAATAATATAGGTAATATAGGTAAATATGTATATATGTAAATATATATAAAATCCAATGTATGTTTGTATGTTTGTATATTTGTCCTTTATGGACTCCAAAACCGCTCGACAGATTGCAATGAAACTTTCAGGCATTATTAAGAATTATTCAAGGATGGTTTGTGTGAAGTTTGGTGCAGATCCGTCAATAGGGCTCCGCCCCAGTGGCTCTGGAGTTTCCCATGTTAACCTTATGAGTACTCTTAAATGGAATTAAAGAATCTTAACAGCTGGTGCAACTAAACAATTTGATTCTGTGATGTTCAATAGCGTTAAAAAGTTAATAGGTTTACCAACAGGGGGCAGCACTATATATTTTTTTTAATTTATGAGAACAGCTAATTTGCAACCAAAAGGTGAGTGAGCGTAGCGAACGAACTTCAACCTGGAGGCGAGTTAGCGTAGCGAACGAGCTAACCTGAAGGCAAGTGAGCGCAGCAAACGAGCTCCAACCTAAAGGTGAGTGAGCGTAGCGAACGAACTTCAACCAGGACGTGATTGAGCCATGCGAACGAGCTCATCTTGAAAATGAACGACCGTGTGACATAAAACCACAATAGGACAGGACGACGTCTGTCGGGCCAGCTAGTTAGAGAATAAATAGGCACGTGGTATATACATTTATTTATTTTTACTATCTTGTGCTCACATTGTAAAACATTATCAACTATCTTGTTGACTGGAGATATGAAGTGTAGAGATATATAGTGTATTCTATTGAGGCTCAGTAGTTTAAGTTGTTTCGGATAGTTTTTATAGTGGTCATTAGTTTTTCAGTTGTTGTGAACTTTTCAAACACAATGGATACTCCAACATTGTTAGACGAAGATTTGCTAAAAAAAGTTAAATCGGTGTACTCAACAGTAGCAGAAGATGTACTTCCTCGATACAGGTACAAAGGTACAACCGTTTCCGAAAATATGCTTAAAGTTCTGGACGATATTTTAAACATGGAAGTTAGGGAGGACGATACTTGGATATGTACATACATGAAAAGTGGTAAGAATATTGATGAATATCTACAAATGTTATTAATTAAGCGTAATACTTGGTTTAAAGTTAATAAACAAACGTTTTAAGCCCATAATTGGACAGGCCCCATTTATTTATTCCAACGATAAAACAACCTATACATAGATGATTGAAGAGAAAAAGTGTGTGAATTCAGCAGCCAGCTTAAAGGTAAATATAACCTTTTTATTAAAGGATGTATAAATAAATCATAGTTGCTGAAACGTTATTTTAGCGAAGATGTTATGAGTTCTGGGGGCTATATATACTCCACATCTCTTAAATGTCTTAGTAACCATTTGTGTCCTGATTCACCATGTAAAAAATGTAGCATATCTCAAATTTTTTTACATTGTATAGTATGTAACTTTTTCTGGCTTTCGATTTTCGTTCCGCCTTTCTTGCGATATTGTTTTAAGTTGGTATCCGTGAACTTGTGAAATTTTTTCATGGTGTAGAATTCCTATCACATTGGCCTACTGGCTTAATTTATTTTAGCGAATTTCCCATATAGGGAATAAGCTATTACCGTAGTACTCATGGTAAGACCTGGACGCGGGACCGATTTTTTTTTTCGTTTTGAGGTCCCTAGAGGCCAAAAACACCATCCGTTCAAATTCATATATATATATGTCCGTCAGCACGATAACTCAAGCAAAAATGATCCGATTTTGATGAAATTTGGTACAAACGTGTAAACCTACGTTTATTCGAACGAGTTCGCGATCCAGCATGATCGGACCATGTGAACGGGTGTTTACGGGGGGTTTTATGGGGTAAAAATAGGTTTTCCCCATTTTTGACCCAAAAAACTTAAAATTTTGCAATTTATTTCCAAACCATTTTGTAGAGCTTAAAAAAACAAATAATTTAGTATATTGAAGCGTTATTATGCGCCTAACGGTTACGGAGAAAATTCCAAAAAATTGTAAATTTAAAATTCCCATGTTATTCTTATGGAGAATAAGTAAACTGTTGTAGTTTGCTTGTTTATGAACATATTTTGATCACATTTGGAAAATGTTTTTATTTCTTACTAACTATTAACATTTTACAAAAAAAAAAAAACAATTTTACCCTCCCTGATGCAGCAAACCTAAGTACGTGTTAAACTAATTCTATTTAAATCCGGAATAAATGTTATATTTTTAAGTAGACATTTCAGTGTAAATCCAATCAGTCAAATGGAAATTCGCTTAGTCTGCAGGTTTGCTGCGGCGGGGGTATTGTATGTTCGGTACAGTATGGATCTAGTGAACCGTTGTATGAGTAAAAAAGCTTTTAGTTCTTTGTGTCTGTTTTCGGGGGTTCTGTAGACTTGAAAATTTACCTCTCCTTCTTTTGTATCTAGTGTGAGGTCTAGTAAATTGATCTTGTTCTTCAAGTTCGTTGGTGAAAACATGGTTCTGATTTTACGGTCAAATATCTGCATAATTTGTTTGTGTCCTCTATGTTGAGTTTGTAAAAGATAACAAGAATGCCATCTGCAAATCTGACATATCGTTTTGCATCAGAACTGTCATTTTATTTTCTATTACTAGTTTTTTCGCGATGCTGTAAAAAATATTTCCGATAAAATCGCCGAAAGTGGGCTTCCCAAAGCCAAACCATGGGTTTGTTCTTAAAATTTGTGGTTAAATGTAAAATAATTTGGTTTAAATAAAAGGTCGTGAGTAGTGTTTCAATCTGACTAACGTATTCATTTTCTATTCAATTATGTAAAAGCCTACATTAAACAGAAGACAGTTTTTATTTTAAAAATACTTGAAGTTGGTGTAAATATTTGAAATATCAATGACGCTAACCTAATATTTGAGTTTATATCTATGTTCTGTCCACGTTCAACATCACATAAAAATTGTTTACATATATTCTATATTTTCTCAAAATTTTATAATTTGAAATCTTTGCTAGACATCCCAGCAAACATTGTTAAAACTTTGTAATTAGGAGAAAAAATAAAGTGTGAGGGTATGATGAAGAGTCTGATGGGGCTGGGCGAAGTGGTACGTTCTTCTTGTGCATTTTCGGCATCTCTAAATGAATTTCGGCGTATTCATTGGCGCTTTGGAATTTTGTACGTTTGTCGATAATCTTCAGGAATCACTCCGGTGCATCTCTTCACGATATTAAACAGTCCTTTTTAGTATTACTGTGTAAAATTCACGATAAAATTATTTTCTTTACAATAACCACAACGTCAATGCAACAGTAAACCACTTGTGTTTCTGTAAGTTATATTTTTTTATAAATAAATTAAGCATCAATCAACTTGTATTTTCGTATGGAAAATATGTTGTTGCTTAATGGAAATGTTTTTGGTATTAAGTTCTATAATCTAAGCGGTAAGTTTACAGTAAATCTATATATTTAATTCCGTAAGTGATTCGGTCCCCACGCAATATCTCGAGCTAGGGAAAAGGAGCATTCATTTTAAATTTTAAGGTCCAAGGACGGTGTGAAAAATATCAGAAGTGTCGTAAACTACCCCTGCTCTGCCCCACAGCCCGTCAAAGATTTAGTCATTTTCTAATGGAAGTACTACTACAGTGTTTCTAAAAGCTGTTGTAAATGTACCAGCTGATTTAAACATTGCGTATTAGTATGTTTATAGATTTTTGTGTTCTGTTTTTAGGTTAGAATGGTAATGCAGTGTTCAAATGTATCGTTTAGGGGAAAACCACGAATACTTAATGTGTATTTAATTTCAATTTGTATACATAACTTATCCCATAGTAAAAAAAATGATTTCAACCCTTTATAATGCAACAAATAATTAAACACGAAAACCATTGCGAATTTCAACCTTTGGCTGTTTACACCCAGTTTTAACATGTGTATTTACTTACAATTTCGAAACCATTGATCAATAAAAATCTAATATTACTTCAATACATGTATTGAATATCTCTCATGATTCTTTAGGTACACATTGGTCATCAGAAATGGTTTGGCTTATATCAAACGATCTTGACTACGAAGGATCAAAAGTTTCCCAACTACAAAGGGTACCGTTCCTCGAGTAAGTTTTAATTCAGAAGACGACTTGGTTTAGGACCCTGTTATTTCATTTCATAAATTATTTAAATTTATACGATTTATACATCTTTTGGTACAAAAAACCGGCGGATAAGGGAATGGAAAATTGTATATACTTTTAGTTACTAGCGAGATAATTTAAATCACAAAAATACTAACCTTTTAATATATTGTGTTATTTTAAAACAATCAGATAATTTGCCATAACTTACTTAGGCAATTTGGAGTTTATTCTATAACGTTACATAATTTACGTTCCATTCTCTTTTGTGTTTGGCAATGCCTTTTATACAAAATATTTTCTAGGTTCGAACACTTTTTAAGTCATTGTCCTGAGCCTGAAAATGCAAGTGACTTTCCTATGGACCCCAAACTCTTCCTTCATTCAGTTGACTATGTAAAGACAATGAAGTCTCCAAGATTTATCAAAACCCACTTGCCTTTTCAATTGCTGCCTTTACAAATTCAACAAGGAACCGTTAATGCAAAGGTAAGAGACCTAGAAGTATATTTAAATCCCATGGCTACAAAACGCATGACTTAAGTCAACAACAATCTTTGGTCATGTCTCTGAATAATTTCCATTAAAAATTCCTAAAGCCTATGCCATATTTTTGGTCATACAGTGTATAGTAATCACGAACATTTTACTTACATAATATAAAATTTTGTTTAAGCAGGTTATCTACGTGAGGCGCAACCCAATGGATGTATTCGTGTCACTATTCGAAATGTTTCGAAAAACCTATAATTATGAAGGGATTCCTGACGACTTTGCCGACCTTTTTTTACGAGGTGGACGTACGTATGCAATTTGTAAACTTAGTCTACAACCACACAATTACAAATTTATTATTCATAAACGAATAATATTATATCTTGTAAAAAATATCTGCACATTTCAAATGAGTGGTCAATATTTTATATACGATTACTATGTTTTTAAAACAAAACCGATTATATAGTGATGAGTGAAACCGATAAATTGTAACTTTATCTTTTATTTTAACTTTCTATGGATACTTACGTTTGTTTTTCATTTGTAACACTTTTCATTTCTATTCTACAGAATTGCTTCCTAGTTTACTGTATTCACTATTCAACGCTCTTTAAAATGTACTAGTGTACCTATTGCTCGAATTTGAGCAATTGCGAAGTATTACATACGTTATTTTAAAAGAATAAGAGTCATAATTTCCGATGACTTGAAAAGAGTCGACTCAAAGATTATGGAAATACCCACGATGTACATAACAGTTCGATATAATCAACATTTCATGTAAATATCTTATCATTTTTCAAAAAGAGGTCTTGTTTTTTAGTGTTTTCTAAAAATGTTTCCCTCTCATAGCCGCATTAGGTTGTATAATGACGATTAATTAATTAATTATGTTAACGATTGAATTAATGATGTATAATAACGATACATTCTAAAAAAACATTGTATTTCTATTTCTTCCACTTAGTGTGTTGTTCCATTGTAATATTTACGTTAACCCAAATAAAAATGGTAAATATTCCATTTCAACTGGGTCAGTAAATTTTTTTAGCAGACGTTTTCTTATATTCCAACTAACAGAAATTAAATTATCCAGCTGATCATAATGTAAACAAATATGTCCTTCGTTAGGTTAACATGGGAGCTTAAAAAGCCACTGGGGCACAGCCCAAAGGACTTAAAAAAATGTAAGGTCAGTTTGCAAATTTACAAACCTAGACCTAGTAAAATTTTGGTATATCATATGTGGTTTTAAATCTTAAAACAAAAAAGCCTTATTGTTCACAAAGTTTCATGTGGCGTATTAATAATATAGATTGTTTGTAAGGTATTGCAAGTGATTTAGGTGTTTAACGAACTATTAAAATAGTAATTCAAAGTTAATTAGATGACAAGATGTGAAACTTGTGACAAATTATGAATAGCCGAACCACCAATAAATTGAGATTCTAATTTTATTCGTGAGACTTAGTTTTTGCCTAATTCTTCTTAATAAACAGTATACAGATACATGATTTCTTCTTTAGGATATACAGGGTAGCTGAAAAGTAACTTGCAACCCTCCTTAACTTTTAACCCATTTGAGATATTTGAAATTGGTTTGTTGCATCCTAATTATACAGACTGCCCCAAAAGTCCCGGACCGGTTTAATATTTTCTAAACGACAACAGATAAATCAATAAGATTTTGCACATCAACACCACACCTAAAAAACTACTTTTTTAAGGAACTATGAATTTTCTGTCATACCATGGGGACGTCCCGCAAGGAGTCAGAAGGAAATCTTAAATAGAAGCATAGGTTGATATGCACATCAAATTAAAGACCTTTACTAGCAGAATATAATGCCGCAAATTTGAACTCAAACGGATAACTGAATAAAAAATGGCAGCCGTTCAAAGATTTCTTGAATCCACCATTTTGAATCTTTGAACGACTGCCATTTTTTACTCAGGCGTTCTTTTGAGCTTGAATTTACGGCATTGTAATTTACTAGTGAAGACCTTTAATTTGATGTGCATATCGACCCATGCTTACGTTAACAATTTTCTTCCGATTCCTAGGGCTGTGCCCCCCGAGGAGTAAGCGTATAATAGCAATGCAAATTAAATTAATCTTTGAACTACTGTCATTCTTGACTCGGTTGTCCGTTTGAGTTCGAATTTGCGGCATTATATTCTGCTAGCAAAGACCTTTAATTTGATGTACATGTCAACCTATGCTTCTATTTAAGATTTCCTTCTGACTCCTTGCGGGACGTCCCCATGGTATGACAGAAAATTTATAGTTCCTTAAAAAAGTAGATTTTTAAGTGTGGTGTTGACGTGCAAAATCTTATTGATTTATCTGTTGTCGTTTGGAAAATATTAACCCGGTCCGGGACTTTTGGGACAGTCTGTATATGAAGGCTTACAATAAGAGTGCTTAAGTTGGAAAATTTTGAATTTATGGTTAGATGTGGAAGGGGGTAGCTCAAGATTTTCAAATAACAAGTAGGGCCTATAATCGAGTTTGGTGTCATTTTACAGGTCTTTCACCAGTGTCTTAATCGATTCTAGCTGCCATTTTGTTAACAATGCCCGATTTCAATTTTCCTTTTGTCTTTTTCTTTTGTTTTTTTAAGACCTGTAAAATTAAACCACACTCAACTATACTTCGTATTTTAAAATTATGTTTCATTTTAGAATTTAGCCTCCGGATTACGTTGAATATATTAAAATGGTGTAAATACCTGCTTCGTGGTAATCCTAATGTTGCTAGTGTCGCTGTTAAAATTATGAGCTACCCCCTACTCCCACTCCCCTAAGATTAACTGGAATTATTGTAGCCCCTTACTGTATATTAAAAAATGTTGCCGCAAACCGATTTCAAATATGTTAAATATTTGAAACGTTTGGGGTGCAAGTTACTTTTCAGCCACCCTAGTGGTTATTTTTGCTTGAAAAGTTTTAGGGCACCATTTTGGTTGTTAGTATTTGGTTGGATTTTGGTTTTCTTTATGTCAATTGTTTAATTTAATCATGACCTGTGAAATAATACCAAACTAGAACAAACTTGCCATTTCAACATTTTGAGCTACCGCCTACTCCAGCTACCCCTTATGGGCCAAACTTATCAATCATCATTGTAGCTCCTGTTATCTAAGAAGGTTGCCGCAAACCGATTTCAAATATTACAAAAGGTCCATATGTTAAGGGGGTGAGGGTGCAAGTTACTTTTCAGCCAACCTGTTTATTCTCATTCTAAAACTCTGATAGAGTAAAATTGGAAAAAATTGTGGAAACATAAAACATATCTTTGCATGTAACTGTTTTAGTAAAGTATTTACCATACTGGAAACACTGCCAGTCTTTTTGTGAACGGAAAGACGAACGCCATATACTATGCTTGAAATTTGAAGACATGATTGAGGTAATCAAATCTGACTTCTTAACAAATTAAGTGCTTTAATTATTTTACAAAAATAAAACAATTAAATCTGCTTGATTAATAACAACTGCATCAGCGTTACAAACAATACATGCTTTGTGACCCAGCAATAATAACTGTCTTTCTCCCCCTACCCCCCTGCAGTTTAATGTTTAGTTACTGTAAAAAGAGGAAAATATTTAATAACTTACATTGTTGAATTACACGTTCAATTTATATGCTTTTTATTTTCTTAAGTAGTTTATAGTTGGATTATTAATCTTAAACAAGAAAATCTTTGAAATACGGTTGACGAATAGTATAATCCTACTACCAACTGTCACTATTGGATACCTACTAGTGTACCTGTTGATCGAATTCGAGCAATTGTGAAGTATTACAGGCGATAACATGGGAACTTTAAAAGCCACTGGGGCAGAGCCAAAGTAAGGTCAGTTTGCAGATGTACACACCGAGACAAAAATTATTATGTGTAATTTGTGGTGATAAATCTTTAAAAAAAGCCTTATTGTTCACAAGGTTTCATGTAGCATATTGAATATATATATATATATATATATATATATAACCAGAACTAATTCATAGTATCGAATGTCCTTGATATTCTTTGTTTGAAGTTCATTGTTGGTGATGGTGAGTTAATGTTGTTCAAAGGTTTATTACGGACATTTTCCTTCACGAATGTAAAAAACAATACACAACCTTTCGGGATCTGGCATCTGATCCCGTCTTCAGGTGAAAAAAACTTAACTAACACATTACAACTAACAATACACAAACGCCCAACCTAAGTTGGAATACACTACCGAGGGTAGTAGTCAAAAAATATGCACTGTAGATTATAGTGTTTTGTGATTTGTTATTAATTGCATGTTGTATCATGACTTGACTTCTATACAGTGCATATTTTTTGACTACTACCCTCGGTAGTGTATTCCAACTTAGGTTGGGCGTTTGTGTATTGTTAGTTGTAATGTGTTAGTTAAGTTTTTTTCACCTGAAGACGGGATCAGATTCCAGATCCCGAAACGTTGTGTATTGTTTTTTACATTCGTGATGGAAAATGTACGTAATCAACCTTTGAACAACGTCCTTGATATTTTGGACATGTTTATCAAACATGTGTTCAATAGTAGTTTGGTTTTAGTAAAAGTACAATAAATAAAAAAATTAAATTAAACTATTTGAATATTTTGTTGAAGGACCTATCAGCTGCGATAAACCAAACAGCTGACTTCCTTGGCAAAAAACTCACAACTGACCAAGTGGCTTCTCTCAGTGATCATCTAAGTTTCGCCAACATGAAAAACAAAAAATCTGTCAACTTGTTAGACGAAATGAGTACGGTGAAGAAACTGCAAAATCTAGGTGAAGGCAAGACCTGGAATTTATGTCGAAATGGCGTGGTAGGAAAGGGGAAAGAATCACTAAGCTTGGAGCTAGTGGCTCGCTTTAAAACATGGACTGAAGAAAACACCAAAGGTACTGTTTTGGAAAGACCATTAGAGCATTATGGGTTTGATTAATGGGATGAAGTGAATAAATGTATTTCTAAACCTCCGTCTTTAATTTTCATTGCTCTATCCTTAATCGGAATTTGTAAGAGGAAAACTCTTCGTAAACAAAATTGTATTATTCTTTTACGAATAGAGAAATCCTAACAATAGAAAAGTAACATCCATAAGATAAAAGTGCAACAGTTGCGATGGGTATTTTAGTTTTGAAATCTGTCTAATCATTTTAAACGTGTTATATAGTAGCGTGCATTACTTTTCCTTGAGTTTTTAAAGAATCAAGACACTTTCGGTAATTTTTTTATTTCTCAACAAACCATATCTTAGTATTATAGACTATCTTGCAAATAACTCCGAAATACTCCTGACTTGAATTACTTGAATAATTAACAAAAAGTAAGCTTATGAATTAAAAACAAGCGTTGCCACTCTAAGCTTAAGCTAGTCATCAGTAAAGAGGGGATTGATAGAACATAGTATGCAACCTGTTCTACCGAAGTAAAATATTCAATTTATTGTATTCTCATTCAAACAAAATAAATTTACACTTAAATTGATAATTCATACGAAGATTTTACCCAACAGAAACCTTTTTTTTTGCAAAACAACAACATTGAACTTATCTTTTCACCAGCATAATTAAATACTATGGATCATCTATAATTTATGTATTAATTGTAATAATGTTTCACCAAATGTATTGGTAGTGAATAAATGTATTGGTAGTGAATAAATGTATTGAATTGTTGAGTCAGTTATTTTGATCCAGTTTTACAAACGACTTAAGCTTCTTACGCCTCATAGATAAAAATGTAATAAAACATCTAGTTACTATCCCTAATGAACTTAACAAAAAATGTTGCTAAATCCTCGAATTATTAGTTGGATACTAGACAGTTAAATATATTTTGCTTCTTTCAACTAAGCTAATTCATTTTCAGCAGAAGTAAAATAACATCATAGAATAACATAGAAATAGAAATAGAACATAGAAATAACATCATAGAAGTAATTGGTATTGTTTTATTGAAGCAACATTGTCCATTGTTTATTTTAATTTTAGTTCTACGCTATTAATTAACATGACCAATGCAAATTTTGTATTTGTTATTTTGGTTTAATAAATGAGTTATGAGTTATGAGTTATCATGAATCAATGACTCAAAAATGACAGGAACGTTGCCATTTGATTTCCCTTGAGAAATCTTAGGAAGTCATTAAACGGTCATTGAACTACGTAGGACACCAGTTCTAAATATTTTTGAGTCAACCTAACAAAAGAAGGATATCCGTAATATCCTTCTTCTTCGGCTTACCTATTGGCATAATATAGATTAATTAATAGATACGAATCCCAAAAAAACAATCGACCTAAAAGGCTTATTTTAAAACCATTAAACAACATTATGATTTCAAGATTTATTGGGTTTCTATTTGGATGATTCGAAAATACCTTTTCATAGCTTTTAGAATCCAAGCTATAGTTTGATTTTTAGTATTATTTTACTAATCTCTCATTTATTACAAAACGTGCTTGTTATATTCTAGAATTCAATAACTGGTGTAGTTTTTTTTTTTATATTTTGGTCACGAAAAAAAGTCGGATTGCATTTACATTTTATTATAAAAAGAAATAGCATTTATTCTTGTGGTAATATTTTAAAATTGGGTTCAGGAATATATTGCAATATGAAATCGTTGTGCTTTATTACTAGAGTTGTGTCGAATCACAAAAGGCCGTTCACACAGCTAACAATAGAAAAGTAACATCCATAAGATAAAAGTGCAGCAGTTGCAGGCACGTTGAATGCAGGTTGCAGGCAGTTGAAGACCCATAAGGTTAACATATACAGGACTAGCAGAGTACCCGTTCTTCGTATGGGGTTGGCGTATAAGTATAAAATGCATATTGCAGTTATACTCTAGCTTTGCGTTTGCAATGGGGGAGCATAAGGCATGCGAGAATTTGGTTCTTTATATTTACGGTATACTATAGTATTACATATATTGTATAGTATATACAGTATAGTATTAAACATCTACCATAGCCATTCTGGTCTACCACTGCACATAAACAATATAAAAAGTAAACTATCAAACATTAACACGATATCACAAATTATGTATTAAATTAAAAACATAAACAATACAACTTTAACAGTTTCCATTGTGTATTACAGCTTTATGATGATGCTTACTTCGCTGCTGTTATCATAATTGAAAAAATATAATAGTGCTGCACCCTGTTACTAAACCTTAAAACCAACTTGTTTGGTGGAATCAGCTGACAAAATTATTTAATTCCTTGAATACCCACAAGGTTAACATGGGCAAATCCAGAGCCACTGGAGCGGAGCTTGAAAAGAGTTTTTAAATAACCATATACCTATATCGGGAATGTGAACTATCATCACCCCAAATTTCAGCCCAACCGGCGAGTATTTATCTTGTTTACTTGTCACAAACATCCATACATACATCTAAACTTTTTCACCTATAATATTTGTAGAATTATGAATGCAGTATTGATGTTCTCTGGTACAGATAATCTAAACATAATTTACTTCAAGAGTACTTCGGTTCCCCCTCGGGTACTGAAAGTATTCATATTATTATTATTATTATTATTATTATTTATTATATATGGAACGGTTATTATGCCTCTTATTTTGCGACATTAGGAGCAAGGTGGCCTACCATCTTGATTCCTTAGGGGACATCAATGCCAAACATGCTAATGGTATTGCAAAAAACTGGGTTGTTCTATGAAATAATATAATTTTGGTTAGGATGTTGTAAATGTATGTCCTGGGTTCAAATTCAGCCAATCACCAATGAATTGTACTATGTGAAAATGCCACAACCTCAAGTAAAGCTAAAAACACTCCCGGCCTAGAGCCTAATAAAAAAACGATTGATTAGTAATGAATAAAGCGTAACTTTAGAAATTATGACAACCATTATGGCTTTAAGACATGATCGTCACGTTTCTAGTTCCATTAGCTCATATCTTTACTGTCGCGTAAAATGTTTGTTTATCCAGGAATATTGTCTCGTCATAAACCGCTACGAGGCGTCAACAGCTTTACAGTCGTGCTTACTCATGTTTCATTCGTTTTTACCATAAAGTTGTTTTATACGGACAATAACTGTTTGCATGTATAAACAAACCAACACATAAATATGTGTTGAAATAATACTTCCAATATTTTTAATACTCACATTGAATTTTAAACAAGGTACCAAAACAATACTCGGGAGATTAAAATCTCAAAATTATGTCAGAGCTAGTTTGTATATTATTTTGTTTATTCTGATACAGTACAGCCTAAGTGGAGAAAATATTTTTCCTACAGTCACCTGACAAAGTTGATTTCCTTGCACTGATTATAGCACGAAAAGTTGCTAACTGCTGTACTTACCTACTTTTTCCGCACTCCAGTATTCCAACCGAACAACACAAAACAGCGTGCATTTTTAGACACGTCAACGTGTACGGTTGAAATTAGGTTGGCAACACTTACTTATATTAGCCTACGACTACGATCAGCTGGTGCAGCGTTTCCCATTTCGTTCAAAGTTTGGATTTAACCTTACCTAAAAACGTGTTGTACAGTGTTTGAAAGACTAATTATTTATTTGATTGATAGTAAGTGTATAAAAATTATCATGTGTAACAAGAGTTTACATGATAGTTGGCAGACCTGGTCTGTATTGGTTAGACGAGTGTTACTTCGCTCCGTTGAATATTCTCTATTTCAACTATATTGGACTTTCCAACGAGGAACAGTAGTGTTGATCGCATTGAGAGGACTCCTATGCATATTTATAATATCTATATATTTAATACGCGACAACTATGAATGAACTATGAACTTTGTGAACAATAAGGCTTTTTTGTTTTAAGATTTAACCCCACATTTTATATACCAAATTGTTCGTCTAGGTGTGTAGATGTGCAAACTGGCTTTAGATTTTCGAAATACATCTTTTTAAGGGCGTGGGCTGCCCTCAAAGTTCCTTCCATAAGGATAACATTGTGATTGATTTGAATGTTATTATATTCTGAAACAGATGGCAATACATTAGTTAAACAAAATTAAATCCCAGCTGTTTTGTTTGGTTTTGAAATGTAAACAGTTTGCATGTTTATAAAAATAACTAGTGGCTTTTAGGGGCAATAGCCCCTATATATGTATAACTATTTTGTCTCATGGGTTGAACCTTGAACCATTGGGTTGATCTCCATTTGTCAACTCGATCGTTTAACATTTTTGTATACAATATGTATAATAATTATTACATGCCTGCATAATGCATTTTGTTATCTGCTCTGTTTAAAATAACAGTTCCAAAAGACTGTTCATCCGGTATTATAACAACTGTCTAATCATTAATACAACTAATGATCATTTTCAATTATAATCTTCATGACTATTAATTAAATATATATATAAATCTCTTTGAATATAGACAAATTCACTTAGATTAAACACATAGAGATAACGTCTTCCTCCAGATTGTAAAATGCTAATTACAATGACAGAAAAATATTGCATTTTGTATTTAGTTTATAACAAAATCTCTCTGAAAACAACATTTTTGTTGTATGGTATCCATTTTAATTGATTCCTTCGTCTTTATTTGATTCTAGTACTATTTTGACATCATCTGGCCGCCTTACCTGGTTAACATAAAGTTGACCATGGGTAAACACTATTTTTTTCTTCAAATAAATGCCAACTTTTGTTCGGGTTCGGCCTCGTCCTTTGCTTTAATAATAAGTAATATTGAAAGCTAATCGCAATGGGAATTGAATACTTGTAAACTTAAACGGCATATCAGGATCTATAGATATTAGTTTTATTTTCGGCATGGAAAAATAAGTCCCCTTTGCCTACTCCAGTAATCACTTCTAACTTTACACTTTGTTCAGACATACCTAACACAACAAATCGTACTCCATTAAACAATCCAGACCCTTAAATTTAGGGAAAAGTCTATTTCAAATTTATAATAGTACGCATATTACAGTACATATTACATATCATATGCTTTAAATAAAGTTAAACCACATGTTTTAAAGTAAACAAAGCACATGACCTAGATTCCCATGTTATTTAAATGTGAATTATTTTATTCCGTAACGACAGT